GTGTGTAAAATGTACAGTATTCACCTGTCTCGTCACAGACTCCTTCCTAATAGGTACTGAAGTAATAGATTTCGGGTGTTATTTCAGTATGGCTGTGTATTGCAGTGCAGATGTGAGTGTATTTCAAAGATTTGTTGAACAGGAAGTAAGAATAGAAATGCAGAAATGAATATGGATGTAAACCATAAACTTCTATAACCTTTGAACAGTACAGTGTTTGAGCTCATCGTGAGGCTGACCATCATTAAATGTGATTGTATTTTATTTAACCCTTTAAAGCCTGAGCTACTGGCAGAAAATTCTATTTTTTAGAAAATTGAGTATTTATTAAACTTTGTGACAAATAGAAAAAAATGTAAATTTGCATATGAGTTTTAATTTGTATCAATTCTGCTACAACTGGGTGTGTGTGTGTATCAAATAAGATACAACAGGCATTAAAGGGTTAATACTGCCTTTTGTTATATTTTAAGCAGTTAGATGTTAGTTGTTGTTTTTTTTTATTTAAGATCACGCAGTTTATTTTTAAATTCCTGCAGTACCATGTAGTGCATAACAGCTGCCTCATCGCTTGCTTACAAGATGTCTGTAGAAAAGTAAGGCTTTGCAAAAGCAGTTCAGTATTGCTTGTTTCAAAAAGAATGAAACTGTTAGTTTGAAACTCTCACCAGCTGCAGTTTTCATAATATATTTTCATTTGACTTCTTTTCTCAGTAAAGTGATGAAGAAGCTTTGCATGGAGCCTCCAGACAGGCTCTCTTCTCTGCAGATTCTGTGGGAGAACAATAAACCTGCTGAACCTGGACCCTGTGGTATGAACCAGTGACTACTGCGTGCATCTGCACACAGTACTGTGCAAAAATCTTGAGCCACCCGTTATTTCTTTATATTTTACTTCCACGGAGCCAGACTTGCAGCCTGTCACAGAAACCCACATGTCTCTCCAGTTATTAAATCTATGAAAAATGCCAAAGATACCAGTTTTACAGTCATAAAACAGCATTTCTTGACCAACAAGGTGATTCTTAAAGAGCTAACTTGGTGTATGTCAGTAATGTGAGATCTAACAGTGTGCAGTGTGTCCTTAAAAACTGAGTAAACTGGAAAAGTGGAGGACAAAAGAAGTAGCAATGTAATTTCCTTAAGAAAAAGGAAGATATCCCCCAAAAAAACTTAACACAGGATTTGACAGATTTACCTGGCTCTTTAGATGATCTATCTACTGTTCACTGAAGCCTCATCATCTCTTAGTGGAAGGTTGGATATCAAGAAGCCATTCTTAAGGAAGGAAAACTGTGAGAAAAAGCTGAGATATGCCAAATTGCACAAGAACTGGACTAAAAATCAATGGCAACAGGTCTGTTTGAGTGATTTAGGGTTAAATCATCCTCAGTGTGTACAGAGTAGGTCGGGAGAGAGGTACAACAGAGTGTGTCTACAGGAATCTGTAAAACACGTTATGTTTGAATGTTTTGGGGATGCATTTCAACCAATGGTGTTGGAAATCTGGTCAAAAATTGTTGGAATCATGAACACAGAAATGTGTCATCTGATTTCTATCCATCATGTAATGCTATCTGGAAAGCATCTAAATGCCTTATATACTGTATTTCCATGAATGTTTTCACAGATTTCAATAAATCAATATCAATATATCTACATTACATTTTCTTAACAAAAGCAGGACATGAAGAATGGCTCAAGACTTTTCCAAACAGCTCTCTCTATATATTATAAATGATGTGTTGCTGCTGTAGTAAGTTTACATGGTCTGTGCAGTGTTGCAAATAATCACGTTTCCAAAATCCTCCTTTCACATGTCTACTTCGTTCTGATTTCTCTTTTCGTGTTTGATGGTCTCCGTCTCTGTGTAGGTGGGTTTTCTCAGATGTACCGATGTGTTTGTGACTGGTTGGGGATGCCTTACAGAGAAGAGGTGCAGTGGGTAAGCATTGTTTATATTCTTTTGTGCAGTTGCACAGATCACATTGACAGATTCTTCTTCATCTAAGCCTCACCGCTGTAGGCTGGATCCATAAACATGCAACAACTTTTGATAAGGCCCAACAGCACTGACACATATATAGAGCCTTATTTCTTGACGCCTTTGTGCTCTTGCTCTTTTTCTCCTACATGAAACAAATCTTTTACTCTCCCAGTGCAATTGCTTTGTTTCTAGAGTCAAGATTAATTAATCGTTTCCTTTCCAGGATGTAGACACTATATATTTAACGCAAGACACCAGAGAACTTAATTTGCAGGACTTCAGTCATCTGGAGAACAGGTGAGTGCCGGCAAAGATCTTTAAATATTACCACCAGTGCAATTTAAAAACTACCATCAAAGTCATCACTGAGTCTGAGATGGTATTGATGAGAGAGATAAAAAAAAGATTTCATGGCTGCTCTGACTTTTTCTCTTCTGCATTTGTCCTCCTCCTCCTCAGGGATCTGGTAGCTATAATAGCAGTCCTGGAGTTTAACCAGTGGTTCACCAAGGTCTCTACTAAGGATTACAAGCTGGTTAGTACTTCTCTTCTTGAAAATCTGGCTAACACTATGCAAGCTAAAGTCTGAGCACTCCAAAGAAGATTTAATATTCAGTTCTTTGTTAACACTGTTTCAAGAGCTCTGTGGTCATGTCAGAGGATGTAGTTTGCTGAGAGAGTGCTGCTCATCACCAAGCATATTAACAAAGGTAGATCTTATAGCAGCGCTAGTCTCTTCCATTCTCATTCCTTTAGTTTGTATATGAATGTAGCTTATATCTTCATTGTGCTGGATAAAAGGTATGCGCTGTTAGTGTTTTCCCACAGAACCAGATTTAATCCTATCCCAGGTGTAAGTAGGTAAGAAAGCCGCCCTGCTGTATTTCTTTGGTTGGGTAAACCTGCTGCTCACCGCCTCGCCTCATTGCTGCAACTGCGGTACGTTAGTTTCTGCTTTGTATGAGACGGTATTTGTCGGTAAGGGCTTAGAGTTTGCCTCCATTTGTGATTTATGTCTCAAGTGATAACAGAAAGCGGTTAATTAGAGCAAAAGATGGAGATTTATTCTGTTTTATTGTGGGTCTAAAACTGTGTTGAGAGTGTTATCATGTCACGTTTGGCATATTTTAAATTAGAGCAGAGCTGATTTTCCTTACTATTTTGTGAAAGTTAAAAAAGGGGCACCTAACACTGTTGTTGCATCACATAGATTTCAGTTGTGTAATGTCTGTTTCTTTCTATATTGCATATTTCGATTTTTCCTTCTCTTTGTAAATTCCCTCTAATGTAAGCAGCTTTTCCTCTACCTTTTGCTTATGGTATATAGGGGTGTATGCACAGAATATTTTCCCCTTTGTTTCCTCCATCTCCCCCACCACTCTGTTGACTGACGATCAGTCCAATGTTTTCGTGTGATAAGACTCCTAATCCGTACTAGACAAAGGGGCTCAATGTCTTGGGCTGTTGCCCCCCTGCAGCACTCCATTACCAACTCTGCGTCTCGAGGCTTCGCTCAGTCTCACCAATTACCACACGCAGCTTCCTCAGTCCGAGCAATTATCTCACGCTTCCGTCATGGACAATTTCTTTCGTGCTGAATTTTAAAATCCTGTCCCTTGTGATGCCGTGTTTAAACTTGGGCACAAATGTTCACGCAGGTACATGTGCTAATGTTTGCCCTTCTATTTGAGATTAGTGTGTGGTTATGATGATACGTAAGGCTTTTGTCTTAGTGCTATTCAATTGTGTGTGCTGCTTGAGTGTTGTTGTTTTTTTGGCAATGTTTGAATTGTATTCTGTGGCTTTACAACCCAGTCCTCTTTGAGTGCTTTAAGGGGGAAAAAAATCCTCTTTTCCCAATGTGTGCATATTTGTATAGAGATACTGGGGAAGCTGGAGAAACAAGAGCTGCAAGGATGTGATCTGGAGCGTGATTATTTCTGAATCCCGTTCCAATGGAAATAATAGGAAGTCTGACAGAACAATAAGAGAGGAAGAGAGTGTGAGAGAAGGCGATGACAGCCAGCAGAGCAGTGGGACAGAAACATGAAGGTCGGGGGGAAAGGTCAGTGGACAAAGTGAAAGTGAGAAATGCCAGATGAGTAAGGAAACGAGGCAGAAAGCATCACAAGGAGTAATCGTGTTTAACAATTACACCAGAAGAGGGGAACTAAACATTTTAACTTGTGAAAGTAGACAGAATGAGGCCAGTTGATGCACAAAAAGTTCAACGAGAGGTTGACACTCAAGCTGGTCTGCTTTGTGTTTAACGTTGAGCCGTAGCGTTACTTTAAGAAATACCCTGTGGATCACCGAGAACAAAAACAGTTGATAAGGAGATGTAAAACATTAAATCCACGCGCCTCAAGCCTTAAACTTCAGTCTTGCATCTCTATCGTATAGATAAGGATAAGCAATATCAGTGCAGCAGACTGAGTAATAAAACAAATACAGACACAAACACTCACAGGCAGCAGGCTATCACAGTGAGGGATTTCGCTGCTCATCCTCAGTTCATTCAGGCTGTTTGTCTAGTGGTCTAATCAAGATGCTGAGCCCAGCAATGAGAGAGGAGTAGAGGAGAGGATGGCAGAGGGATAACCCTTTAATGAAGCCATGATAGCGCGGTGTGCATGCGTGCACGCACATGTGTAAAAGCGTGGGATAATTTAGCAGAGTGTAGGGTCAGAACACCACAGCGTGACAAGGTTGTTATTTAATGAGTGGTTAATGGTACAATACACATGCTGACAGTGTCGCCCTGCTATCCCCAACAGTGTTATTGTGGCTGCTGTGGAAAAGACAAGACATCTTTGTGTGCCCTCTGCCTCTCTGCTCGCTCCCCTGTTTTTCTCCATTTCATCCATCACTACCCTGGTATCGCTCTTTTTAAAAAAATATAGCATGTGTCATCCACGGTGGCCTCCATCCTTCTTATTCTTTTCTTTAACACTCATAGTTTCGATGAGTAAACATGTGAACAACAGTCCCTTTCTTCCGAGTTTTCCTGATACTGTCTCCTTCTCTTTCCATCATCACTCTCTCCTTTCTCTCCTCCACACTCTAGAGGCCCGCGTTGGACAATACAGGCACTGTTTTGGCCACACTGAGGTTGCTGGCTAACAGAAACAGCCCCTCACTGAAGAAATGTCAGCTACTGTGATTAATAACAACATACTGGCCCTTCTATCATAACGAAAGTTTTTGAGTTTTTCGGTACAGATTATTGGAAGATATATCTGTAGCAATGCTAACTGAATATGTCTGGTGCATGATTTCTGTGTATGTATGACGCAGCACACAGTGAAGTGGGTCAGTGAGCATCTAGGTAGGGCATGGACATTCAGCTGTTGAATCTTTAATTTTGTCTAAATACGAGTGCTTTTCGTCCCTCTGTTGTGTCTCCTGTGGTGTTCAGACCACAGAAGCGAGAACTATTTTTCTCCCTCTTAAGGTGTCCAGAGTCTGAACTCCCCAGTCTCTCCCTTGTCATGCCTAAATGGTCTTTAAGTAGAAGAATTCACTTGTATATACTGTTGGGTTTTCCATCCATCCATCCATCTTCATC